CCCCCCCACCACCACCACCACCATTCTAATCATTCCTATTACTGAGATCTCCTGAAATGGAACACAACATAGCAGTTACTGCAACTGACCAGCGCCCCCCAGCCTCCTACATACACCAAGCTTACCTGCTTTTTGGTATGTTCATTGTATTCTCCGGGAAGATTATGTGCACTTTTAATTAAGGTCTTTGCAATATGATAATAATAAACACTAATAATAGCAAGGGGTATGACGAAATAGACCAGGAAGATGAGCACTGAATGAATCTTCGGATGTAATTCATCAGTCTGAGGGTAGGGTATGCAGGCTGTGAAGCTGCCATTACCCAAGCTATCAATGCTCGCTACTTCTGAAAACACCGCTTCTGGAACAGCCAACAGCACAGAGACTACCCAGATACCCACGGCCTTCACACAAGTCCACAGCACCGCCTCCGAAGTCTGGATGTCCATGGGGTTTACAATGGCTCTGTACCTGGGAAAACAATACGTCTCAAATTAACCTTAAGAAAGAAGACAAAACTGTGAAAGAGATGGAGGGATGGGAAAAGGAGAGGGAAGAAAGGTAGGAAAGGAGGAAAGGAAGGAGGGAGAGAGGGAGAGAGGAAGGGAAGAGAGAAATCTTATTTACTAAGAGAGAGGTGGCAACATTCCATTATTCCCGAGCTGTTCTATAGTGTTTGGAATACACTCCATCACCAGTAAGATCACCAGCATTTCTTTGTCTAAAAGTAATTCCACTGCTTATTGGCACAGAAGGCATAGGAAAATATCTGAAATTGTCATTTCCTAAATTGCAGTAATTTGCTTAGCTCTTTTACAAATTTTTTCAAAATCCACACATACTACAAGTGTCCTCATGTATTAAATATTTTTATTTAAAGACTTGAATTTTTATTTAAATACTTGTATTTTCTGTCATTACTATAATTGCTGTAATATATAATAACCATAAAATAGAAAAAGTCCATAAAACAATTTTATCAATTCTACTTTCATACTCCTTAGCTTCTGAGCCTGAGTCTCTACTTTTTTCCTAAGGACATTAGTAAATCTTAGAAACTAATCCAGACTGGGTTTTTCTCCATAATTCCATCATAAGGACTAAAAATGATGGAATAATATTGTCTTTAGAGTTCAAATTAATTTAATGTCTAGACCTCATAAAATTCTCTCTCCTCCCACTTGACACCATTCTAGTGGTAAAGGACACACAATGGCTTAAAAAATCCAGACCTTCTACAGCTAACTCAATCACACACATTAGGGTAATAATAATGTAAAGAAACCAAAATTGTGTGTAAACCTCACATTATTTACATTTGTCTTTGAAAGTAATTCAGGTTAAGGTATATAACCAGGAGGTTAACAAGATACGTTAAAAAAATAAATTTGAGCTTTTAGCTCTGATATCTTTTGGAAAATCGCTTAAGGTATTTTTCTTCCTTTGTAAATTTCTTCCTTTGAAAAAAACACTTCCCTCAAACTTTTGTGATTATAAAAAACGTATAGAACTCCTGTTACAGTGCCTAGCAATAATCAGATATTCACCATGCCATAACTCTGTACCTTCTCCTTATTTATATTTGATTTTGTCTGGTATTCTACAAATTTAGAATATTTCAAACTACATAACAAACACATAAGGTCTCCTTCTGAGGTTCTGTAAAGATGCTTTCTGTTTCCCACAGAATATTAAGAGCTCTCAACCTCAACCCTCTATTTTTCCTTCCTAGTTTGCATCAAAGTGTCATTTCAAGACCCCCAATAGGAAAGTCCATTTGCATTTTGATCTGGAGGGTCCTCCCATGTGAAACAAGAAACACAGAAATTAAAGTAGAGCAACAGCAAAGAGCTTCAATGCCACATTAAGTAAAGTAGCACACATCATGCATTTTACCCAGACTTCACACATAGCAGAACTCAATAGGCTGTGTTCTCTTCTCCTGTTTTGTTTACTTACATATGCTTAAGAAATGTCAAGACAAATTACAATCATAAATAGAATGAACTATTTTTTTCTTTTTAAATGTTTTATTAGATTAATATGTTCAAAGAGGTTGGTTTATTTCTTGAATCAGAGAGCACTAAGAGTCCTATAAAGAAAAATAGAAGTCCCCTATTACATCTTAGGTCCCACTTCTGAGTTAAAACAAATTTCACATCATTTCCTCCATAAATTTAAGAAACATACTTCTGCCACTGACTCGTGAATCAAATATTATAGACATTAGTTCTTAACATCCGGTTATAGCAGTTTAAGATTTTCTCTATATTACCTCTATTCTCTCCATTCTCAACTTCCTGATATGGTAAGTTATATTAAGTGTTTATAAAATAGTCAATGATTATTATGACTAAATAAATATCACTCACTGAAGTGTTAAGTAGTACATTATGACAGCATCCTCTTTCTTATACGTAGCTCTGATTTTCCTAGAGTTGCTACTTGATATTTTTTTCATTTGCATAATTTTACATTTACCTCAATTTAACCTTTTTCTAAATGTTATTTGACCACCTTGAATAGTTGGAGTCCCAGTGCTTGAATCTCAATTCTTCTTTCTTAGTTTTTGACTCTATGAAACTCATCTCCACTTTCTTTGGGATTTTATTCCTAAGATACTTTATTAGCTTTAGCTTACATTCTTCTGAATTGTTTATCATGTTTTTAAATTCTAGAAGTTCTTCCTAGTTTTCAAGTCATTATATATCTATGGAACCAATACAGAAAATGTTTAGTTTTCTTCTCCTTCTAAAATAGTTCCAAGTTTTGTTTGTTTGGTCTCTTTATGCTGGAACCTCTCCTCAAAACTTAGATATTTACTGCTTGCAAATTCATATTTAAGATCAAAGTATCAAAAAGCTAATTGTAAATTCTTTTGTACATAGAAGAAGTAAGAAAAGAACACAGAAATGTGGGCCAGGCGGATACTACAAATTGACTAGTTAACCAGCCTTCCTTGTTAGATTTTCAGAAACAACAAAGAATATTCTGAACTTTCCTGGATTTAAGCAGGAGGAAAAGCCTATAGCTAAGCACCTACCATTGCAAAAGCACTATAACCATAAAGGATGTTGGAGAAAGTTCAAAGAGGAATAAAAATTATAACTCTTGTCCTGATAAAATTGCCATAGTAGAGCTAGCAACAGATCCAGAATTTTTGTTTTATTGCACAACAAGGGTAGAAGGCAATTTTAGTAAGAATGATTCTTAGCCACCTCCTCCAGGAGAGGGAAGATGCACCCCATGGATTTTCCCCTAAATGATATACATTTGACCAAAAGGAGAGTATTCCAAATTCTATAAAGCCAGAAATTACAGTTTAAAACAACAGATTACTGAAGTGTCATTATTAGTACTAAACTATAGCTTATAACTGTCAGAGAATATATGTTTCATGTGCATCTTTGAAAAGATAAAAAGCAGAAAGTAAAAACAATATAGTGCAAATTAATATGGGCATGTTTAATCATGCTTCCTTCAAATATTTATGAAGATGTAGGAATGAAGTAGTCCCTCCATATGAAAACTATCTCATTGAACTTAGTAATGTAATAGATATGTGTGAAAGTTTTTTTTCTAGATAGTCTAAAAAGATATTCCTAACTGAAAACTAAAAAATAATCAATCAAAAGGCATATAAAGAGAACATAATTATCATTCACAATTAAATATCAATAGATTTTTTTATTAGTCTTGTTTTGAATCTTGCTTATCATACCTGTGTATAGTCGATGTAAAAAAATAATTAAATGTAATCATATGACAAAATATATAGTGAAAATTAGATCACTTTTAGCTAATACGAGTCAATCACAACATCTCGAAATCTCCATCTACAAATTTCTGCAAAGCTTTCTAGTTATACTACCTATAATTTCTTTTCTTTTTTTTTTTCATAACAAGTCTTGATTTATCAGAGGCCAATACAGTGCCTAAGTGTGAACTACCTGGCAAGTAGAAGGAGAAAAGTGTATCATGGAAGCAGGAGAAAGAGAGAGAGACTTTTTTTAAAAAAATGTGTAGTCCTCTGTGTCAAATACTCTAAAAGTAGAGAAAAAAGTTTCTTGACACCCGAGCCTGTGTCTTGCTCACTGTTGTATCTACAATGCATAACAATGCCCGACCCATAGTAAATGCTCAATAAATCTTTGTTGAACTGACAAGAAAATGTGGTCTGAGCAACAAGGAGATCACTTCATTAAGAGCAGTTTTGGTAGAGTAGGGTGGTAGTTGTTGGCTATTAAGTTGAAATGAGAATGGAAGTGAGAGACGGAGACAATCTAGTCCACTGATGCCCAGGCTGGATAAATGTTCAGAATCACCTAGAGAACTGAAAAAAAGAGAGTATTAAGTTTCTCCCCAGACTTACTGGCGCAGAGTCTCCAGGATGTAGACTGTGAGATTCCGCATTTTGTAAGATTTTCAGGTGATTCTGAATTTAAGCCAGGTTTAGAAACGACCTTTCAAGAAGACTGACTAGGGCAGTGAGTATCTTTCTCCAGACCGTCTAGTGCAACTGGCGTATCTGAGAAGTGTTTGGAATCCAACAGTTCAGTGTTTGAAGAATCAGATGCCTGTCCCTTACAATATGTCATATAATGTTTTAAGAGTATTGATATCTTATAGCAAAATTACTAAATTTATCATTTAAAAATGTCCATGTATTATTATACGATAGAGTGTCTAAGACGATAAATTACCGTATTAAAAATAATTTAATAAGTGGGATGCCACTTTGGAAAGAATGAGAAGTACCAGATTCAATTATAAGAGGAATCATCTATTCTATTTGTTCTTTATATGAAAAATAAATGACTTTTCTTAACTCACTGAAAGATATGACTTAAATGACACAAAAGTTTCATAAGGAGGAAAATGATAATGACAATGCATATTGATGAAGGCAACAGATTGGAATTAGTCAGTCTATGGTTAAAGGAATTAGGGAAAGGCTATAGAGGTAGAGAGATCATCATTAATTTTATAATGGGCTCATTTTGCTGTCTACTTCAATGTCAATTTTTGATAATTAACTGCATATGTGAATAAATACTGATTGGAATTAGTAAGTTATTTGTCATCCTGACACATAAGCGATATAGTAGAACTTACACAGCAACCCACAGAGTAAAAATGCTTTCACTTCAATTATTTCACTTGATAAAATAGTCCTGTGCTGCCAAACTGATTTCTATACACATTTTACAGAAATGCTCATTGAGACTAAGGAATTAAATAATATTCAAATAATCACAGAGCCAGTAAGCAAACAACTCAGGATTTACTCACATCCTGTGACTACAGACTATATTTTTGAAATACAGCACATTGCAGAGAATGCAACTGAAAATTAAATGTTTTACCTATTTTATTCATTTTTAGACATTTTATTTTCTTGTCCTCTTAATGTCAATAGTATTTTTAACTGGAAAGACTTAGCTTATATCTGTAATCATGTTTTCTTAATT